AGGAGCAAAGATATACAATGAAGCATTTAGCACCGCTTATAACAACTATACTTATTTTGCCAACTGCTATAAACAAATATCTCCTGAAGAAGCACCACACTTTTCAGAAGGTATTATCACAATATCACCAAGCCATTCTAGAGAACCCCATATAAGCCCATATACAGAATGTGTTATTACTAATCACCATTAACAAATAGGGAGTTAGTGTCTATTACCATAACATTAACTGAATTTGTATTTCATTATTCCATTCTCAAATAAGGAGTCCAGTTCATGTTGTAAAAGTTTTATCGGCATCACGTTTGGAGCCAATATATATCTATCTTGAGTCGGGGAGTCCATAACAAAATATCAAATACTGAGTACCAATATAACAGTTTAAACACAAGATATATTATAAACCCTCACTTCTTTACTCACACCAATTTCTCAATAAATAGAATATACTCCTTTCTCCAATTACATTAATTCCCTATCAACTACAAAGTCAAGTCCATATCTAAAGCAAAACCAAGCAAATGTATAATCAAATAATGGTTAATTTGCATAGATAATAGCACAAGATTATCATATAAAAGGGGAAGAAAAACCAAACAAAATTTAGCTAGGTTCTTATTCTAAATTTCTAGTATTATAAAAAAATATTGTTAGCTCTCACTGCCAATTGAGAAAGCAAAAAAAAAAGCAGTGATAAATGGCAAAACAATATCCTCGAAAATTCTTAGAGAGAGCAACTGAGCAAAATACCCTGAATTTGAACTCAGAGTCTCCAAGAATTAATTTTTTTTACCAAAAATTCAATATCCAATCATAAATGAAGAAGGGAAACCTGAAGCAAAAAATTTCAAAAACAAGAGAAACTGTTAGAATATAAGCACAACAAATTAAAAATTCACAAATGTATCAATTCAAAATTCACATATTATAATTATATCTCAGAAATTAATCTTATCATTCTAATAAGAAAATTTCATACAAGTTTCAAGGATTTGTGGAATTATGAATTTACGATTAAGGATTCAACGATTTGAACTTGACAAACTGCTGCTTCACGGCTAACGACAGTTGACGGAGTTGCTGACCGGAACCCTAAGATGGAGGCGGCAAAGCTGCATGCTAATGCGCACAGATCAGACAGTAACTCCAGTAAGGCAGGCTGTTACTACTCGACTGCTCGCTGAAATATGCAGCTGAAGTTGTTCTGGAGAAGAGAATAATGGAAGAAGGCAAGAATTGTTATACCATAGACCCGGGTCATGTCCACCTTGCAACGTGAATCTGGTTTTAAACGACGTATACATTGTTTATTTTTAGTATTGAAATTAGAAATTTTTAGAATATAAATTATGTTTCTAAGTTAAAATACATAACAGTTGTAGAATGGAACTTGCAAATACAATACAGCGTCATAAAATCATAATATTAAGTTAATATTGTGTGACTGCAATATTTGAAAGGAACTTGTGAATACAAAACAAGGTAATCAATTACATATATGTTTATTCCAAAAAAAACTACATATATGTTAACATTGTGTGTTAGTAGTTTACAAATTATGAATTTTTAAGAGATAAATTATAAACATTTAGTATGTAAATTGTTAACATTTGGACCCAGGTCCACCTTGGAGTCCACAGAATAATTTGCGAGCATAAGGATTTGGGCTTGAATGCGTACAAGGCAAAAATTACAAATAAATAAATAAGCATGGAAAAATATTAAACATCTAGAGTCCGTTTAAAAATTTGGAAAATGTTTTTTGAAAAAATAATTTTTAAAAAAATGACTTATTTTCTAAAAAAATATTTTAATTTTTTAGTGTTGGGCTAAAGTTCAGTGCGAGTTGGGTTCTGATGAAGCGTTTGTACATTCTACAGTGTGTGGATCCTCAGCGAAATTGTCGAGCATGGTTGGGGGTTCGTGTTAAGTTGTTTGGTCCGCAGTGTGCATTGCGGGGTGGGATTTTGCCAGCTACAATGACAATGGGTCTTGGGAGCTGCTCTATAGAGTTGATAGTATTTCTTATTTGTGTTTTGTCATTGTTTTTATTTTTTCAACCCATTGAGCTCAATCGGGTGCACTTGACAGATGTGTTATTGATATTTCACTATAGGCAAAACGAAATACATGTCACCTACTCGGGACAAGTCTATTAAGTCTTTTATTTGGCAACGTTTTGATAATTTGGAGCATAACGTTGATTTATATAGACATTATGAATACTTTGGAAGTTTTTTAAGGAACTATGAAATCTCAACATACAAATGCACATAAATGAAACAACTGAACAACAATGAAACATTATACAAAATAAATAAATAAAGTGGTGCATCAACAACTTTTAATGTGCCCTGTAGGTGCTATACGTGCATGACACTTGTTGGGCACATCTAATTTTCTCACTCACCTAGCTACCAATTGCCATAAGATTATTTATTTATTTTTAAAATTTTGGTCAAATGTGCATATAAGATAGTATATTTAAATATATATTTTTCTCTAATCAATGTGTAATACGTACACTAGGACTTATATGACATCTTAATGTTCCCAAATGGTGGCGTCATGAGCTTGTCGCGATGTTTCTGTATTGTTGTGACTCATGAGATCTGTTGAGAAAGAAAGAAGGTGGCGTCATGACCAATTGCCATAAGATTATCAGGTGAAATTGCATACATTTGGAGTGTTCAGTGGCCTAATTGCACTTTTTTTTGTTCAGTGGCCTAATTGCATTTTCAGGTTACGTTCAGTGGCCAATTTGAACCTTATTCCAACTATAAATAGTAAATCCTAAGCAATAAAAGGTGAATCGTTAAACCAAACTTTAAAATGAAAAAAAAAAAAAAAAAAAAAAAACCCATATATATTCCGAAAAAGAAAAAAGAAACCATAAACTCTAAAAAATGACCATAAGTGTATTGCACTTTCACATTCGGTGCACTACATAGTATTGCTAAGTACATTGTAAAACTAAATCATAAATACTAAATTCTAAACTGTAAAAATGAACTTCTAAGCTAAAAATAAATAAATAAATAAATAAACCTAAAATAAAAATACTAAACCATAAACTTTAAAAGGTGAATCCTTTCCCTACACTTTTACATATTATGAGATATATTATGTAATATTGCTAAGTGCACTTTTAAAGTCCAATTACTTAAGAAAATGACACTATATTTTTTTTTTTCCTTTTCCTTGCTTTAAAGCTATTAAATTTTCTTAAATAGACAATTTTGATTAGTCTCTAGATTTTTTCTCCGTGCAAGTTCTCATTTAATCGGTACTCTCTCTCTCTCAAACTCCATAAATAAATTAAGAAAATTTATAAGTATTTTAATATTTTTCTCGTAGGCTCGTAGCATTTGGAGAATAAGATTCACATAGATGCAAAAAATAAATAAAATAAAAAATCCAATTTTAAAATCCCGCAGTCCCTTGAACCATATAATGGCTTTAAAAATATATATATAATGGCATATAACATTCGATGAATTATGCGATATAATTTGAGCCAAATACCCCTATTAATTTTCTAAGAATAAAATTATACGGATTTTATAGAGAGTTTTTGTAATGTTATTCATTAAAAAAAAAAAGAAAATACACGTGTTTTTGTTACATGTAATTTTTTTTCTAACTCAATTAATGGTAAAATATTTATCATTTTCCCTTTTTCCTGAAGAAGACATTAGAAATTTAGAATGAAAAAGGAATTTTAAAAATTTCCAAACTAAACAACGTATTTGTGGTACAAAATGCAAGTACATAGTTGCAGGTTGGAGTCAAGTTCAAAACAAGAAATTAGGCAAATTTAAGAATGCATATAGTAGGAGTATAATTGGGATATGCGCAATCTGCGGCTGAGGCTGGCTGATATGGACAAAAAAGGAATGAAAAAAAAAATATAAAAAAAAAGTACAAAAGCACTGCCTTCTTCCTTTTATTATTATTATTATTATTATTATTATTATTATTATTATTATTATTATTATTACTATATCTGTCTTATTTTATGTGTCTAGTTTGATTAACGAGGTTTAATTATAGTTATTTTTAATTCAATTTTTTTTTTTATAATATTAAGTTTAGTATTAGTATACAAAATTTATATATTTAGAAATTACACTAAAAGTATCATTAGACACAAAAATTAAATTAAAAAATAAGTAAAAAATATTAAAGAAAATAAACAAAAAAAAAATAGTTAGTTTGACTAATGGATAGTAAGTAGGACATATAAAATGGACAGAGAGTATTATTTATACTTAGGTGATCTTAGATTCGTTGGACTAATTTTAAATTCACGAACCCTTTCCCTAGAGTCACTATATGTATTCATGAATTGCACAATCAGTCTACCTATCAGACCTTAGTCTTCATGCGTGCACAAGAGATCCATTTGAACCCCACACTGCAACCTTTTGTCCTAACTAATGTTGTAAAAGGCGCTAGGCGAGCGCCACCTAATTTATATATATATATATATATATATATATATATATATATATAGTAGGATTTCAATGAGAACACTTGCTTAGGTGAGAACGTGAGAATCGTGTTTGCACACATTTAATTCGCGTTCGCACACGCTTAATCTAATCTAGACCATTAAAAAATATTAAATGAATGCACACGATTTGTTCTCACATTCTTACCTAAGCAAGTGTTCTCATATGATCTTTACTTACTGTGTACAAGGAGCCCCCTCACTTTGAGAGGTTACATTTGCTTATTGCGCACAAGAAGCTACCCTCACTTTAAAGGTTATTCCCACACTGCTACAGGTGAAACTCAATCCTGATCATTTTTCCAAACTACACCCCTATCTGGGCAGGGCTAATTTTTGCTATTATTGTTAACACAACTGGACTACTGTTTCTGGGGAATCAAAAGACCAGCAAAGCAAAAACCACCCCAATCCCCACAAAGAAAGATCTCCACTGCCACAAACAACTTGTGGCTCAAAATTCACCTCCCATGCTGACGTGGCCACCCACCCTGTATCGTGAACACCCCCCACCCCATCATCCCCTCGAGAGTTAAAACAAAATCCAACTCTTCATTTTCTGCTACATCTTCGTACTTGATCGCAAAAATCAACAAAAGAAAAATGAGCCGAACTCAAAACGACGACGAATCATATATGCCGCCGCAGAGTTGAACTGAAACTCCGTTTGAAAAAAGTGGAGAGAGAGAAAGAGAAAGAGAGAGAGAGCGTAGAAACCGAGAAAAAAAAAGCTGCTACAAAGAGAGACTTTTGGGTGTTGTTGTGTTTCGTGCGTTGGAAAAGGGAGAAAACGAAAAGTCGAAAACATGGGAGAGAATCAAAAGCAAACCAGAATGTCGGAAGTGAAAGACCCGGCGATCAAGCTCTTCGGGATGACGATCTCTCTGCCACCGCCGCCGCCGCCGCCGCAAGACGGCGACGCCGACGTTTCCATTTCTGTCTCGACACCTTCCCAAGACAACATGGTAGAATTCTTGAAAAACCATGCTTATATTTGGCACTACTTCTGTTTTGCTAGTTTTACGTAATGGAATATGAAAATATTGGGTTGTTTTTAGTATATATATATGATATGATATATAAAGCTCTGTTTCTATTTCTTCTGCATTCAAAAGAAAATATATTGGCTTGAATGAAGGCTTTTTGTGGTGTTTAAGGGAAACCCATTATCCAGAGTAGTATAGTGAGTAATGGGTTGATCATATTTCTGGAAATTGAGTCCAAAGTTTGCAACTTTGATTGAATTGTTCTGAACCATTTTGGATCTCCTAGAAATGAAATGAAGAATCACAGCTACAACCCTATGGTTGTTTCTTGAATTGAATCCAAGAAATTTCTGGAATTGAGTCCAAAGTTTGCAACTTTGATTGAATTGAATTGATTATACATGCCCCCATGTTTGGTATGCAAAATCTTAGCCTTAATGTCTTGTCTCTTTTATTGGGGTGACAAGAGAAACCTGCCGCCACTACCCAAAGCGCGTAAATCCTGTTTTGTGACCCTAGTCGGTAAAGGACCATAAGGAAGTAAATCAATCCAGATTGCCCATAGCTGACTGACTCAAACCACCATAAGGAAGTAAATCAACCCAGATTGCCCATAGCTGACTGACTCAAACCAGGAGACTAAGATTCGAACTCGTTACCTTGTGGTTATAAGTTTGTATCCTTAACCAATTTGGCTGGGATTATCCCGTCTTCTCTCTTTTATTAGTAGTTTGTGCTAAGAAAACCATGGGGGAATATACTTACATCAGTAACTTATGATAGGAAAATGTTTGCCTGGCTAGACTAGACTAGACAAATATGGATTGATATGTATGCTAGCTAAATGTACAGTTAATTGTTTTTGCAAGAAACTTGAGTTTAACCCTTATCATGAAATTATTATCAGAACACTTCAGGAGTAGAACTTACGGGCGATAAGCAGGAAGTTGAATCCACGGTTCTAATTGATGAAGAGTCGGTAGAAGCAGTAACCTCTTCGGTAATTAGTGAAGATCCCTCGAGGACACAGAGTCCAGATAAAGGAACAGGATCATCGAGAGATATCAAGAAGGATGACCCGAGTGAGTCGAATGAGTCTCAAGAAAAGACACTAAAAAAGCCCGATAAAATACTTCCATGTCCGCGTTGCAATAGCCTGGACACCAAGTTCTGCTACTACAATAACTACAACGTCAACCAGCCCCGCCATTTTTGCAAGAATTGTCAGCGGTATTGGACTGCCGGGGGAATAATGAGGAACGTTCCTGTTGGCTCGGGCCGACGAAAGAACAAGAGTTCTGCTACGAATTACCATCATATAATGGTTTCTGATTCCCTAAATGCAAATGGGGCTGTCCTTGCGTTTGGCTCGGATAACCTTGTTGAGAAACCGCAGAATTGCGGTCCGAATGGATACCGTGGATCGGAACAAGTCCCCGCTTGTTATGGCGGGAGGGATACCGTGAATGAACACTCTAATGGGCTAGAGAGGGGAGGTAATGGCGGTGTAGCCGAATCAATGTGGAAGAACTTTCATGGATTTCCACCTCAAGTACCGTGCTTTCCCGGCCCTCCTTGGCCTTGCTCGTGGAATGCAGCCCCGTGGAGGTCTCCAATCCCGGGAGCTCCCGCTCTTAATCCTTCTAGCTTTCCCGTGTCGTTTTACCCGGCTGCTGCTGCACCTTACTGGCGTTGTCCTTGGAACGTGGCGTGGATCTCCCCGTCATCTTCTTCCGATCTCTCAGCCCAATGCAGTAGCCCAACGTCTCAAACATTGGGGAAACATTCTCGAGAAGAGCCTCTGGGGACGAGTAGTGTCCTAATTCCTAAGGCTCTTCGAATTGATGACTCGAGCGAAGCAGCAAAGATCTCTATCTGGTCAACATTAGGAATCAAGAACGAAAAAACCGATTCACCGGGAGCAAGTCTCCTGAAGGCCTTCAGCTCAAAAGCCGACGAGAAAAACCACGTGGCCGATCATTCTTGGTTGATGAAAGCCAACCCTGCCGCTCTGTCTCGATCACTCAACTTCCACGAGAGCACATAAACCGCTGAACCATCACAACTACCTCGATCTGCAACAAAAGAACATATGGATTCGGATCGTTTAAGGTAATGCAGCTGCCAGTGAAGTCATTTCATCACCGAGAATCGAGTATATATGTTGAGTAACACTCGCTAAGGGGAAGAGCTCTTACTAATCCTTTCGGTTAGTGACTTTTTTGTTTGCGTTTTGGCAGCGGTATGTGGAATGCTGCTTCAATTTCGATACGAGTATATATAGTTTGTCAGTGTGTTTCATGTACATATATATACATATCTTTGACAGGCGACCAAATAGACACAGAAATAAGAGAGAATCTTGATTGCACTAAAGCAAAGAAAAGTTTTTGCAGTCTGTAAATGTAAATGTAGTATATCCTTGGCCTTGGTATCCTCTTTTTTGTATCTTTTACTGACTGAAAGTGGCATTTTAGATATTTCCATCTATAATTTGTTTCAATTTTCCTATGCTTCACTTTTTTCCTTGTCTTTTAAATCATTTGCAATTTTTCTTCTTGTGATCACTACTTAACATAACATTATTGCCTGGAATCATTTAATGAGATGTTTGGTAAATAACTGTTAACTGATTGAATTAGTGAGTTTGATTAATTAGTTGATAGCATAATTAGTTGATAGCATAAAAGCTGATTGAAAAAGCTGCTTTGAATAAGTAGTTACAAAAAAATTGACTGATAAGCTAACTATGTTACCAAACAGGGCCAATATCATTGTGCATTGTTTAACAAGCTTTCTTACACTATTTCTGCAAATGAAAGAATATGAGATTGCCCCGCGGGACTTAGTTTAATGGTTCAATGGTCACTTTGGAAATCTTGCTACGGCGGGAGGGTGGGGGTTAGGTGTGTGCAGAGTGTTCAAGTAGGGGTGGAAACTGAGGACTGGGTTGGGCGATCTGCCCCGCGGGACTTAGTTCAATGGTCACCTTGAAAATCTTGCTACAATCGGAGGGTGAGGGTTAGATGTGTGCAAAGTGTACAAGGGTGGAAACTGAGGACTGATTGGACGACTCACAATTTACCTCATCCAGCGCCTTTGGGCAGGGTTCGAGTTTTGGGAATTGGAGATTAGTCTAGCGTAAGCGGAAAATCTAATGTATTAAAAAAAAAAAAAAAAAAAAAGAGATCCAAAGAGTTTAGGACAAGGTACAAAAGTTTTGGTGGGCACAAATGGGAACATAGATAAAGGTGGAACCTTATTTTGAAAATTAAACCAGCTAAAGTTTGTTGTAGGCCATGCATGTGTAGATAAACTGGAATTTATGTCATCACAAAAGGCCAACCACCTTTCTCTTTCAGGGCCAAAAAGCTAAGGATATAAACTAGTGATGCCAAAAGGTTGAAACGTGAAGATATAATAATAAAGTTCTCCTTTTTCTTCTTTAGTTTTTGTCCACTTTTCAGAACCCCCAATCCTTTTCAGTCACTTGGAATCTGTCTCAGAGAAACTTATCTAATACTTCTCCATTTTATTATTGGTACTTAGCCTTATTGCATCAACTTATTTGTACTGATAAATATGAATTCCTTCATAATTTTGTACTAAGATGTGTGCAAATCTTGATATTTTGATCACTATTAATTGTTTGATTTAGTTCAAATATCAATATAAGTGTTTGGTTAATTAGCTTTTTGCAACTCCAAAATGCTAAAATTCAAAGAGCTACTCTACGCAACTTTTTCAATTAGCTTTTTTAGAAAAGAAATTATACCAAACAGCTATCAGCTAACAGCTAATTTACCAAACACTTTTCTACAACAGCTAATGTTATCAACTAGTCATACCTTCTAATTAACACAATCAACTAACACAGCTAACAATCATTTACTAAACAGGGCCAAAAGTCATAATAAAATCTATAGACCACTTGTCGCACCCTTAGAAGTGTCTATGACAATTCAACCAGGAAATTAGTCAACGGTGAAAGTATGGGTTACATCCAAAAAAAATAAAATAAAATACGAGTATTGTTGTATTGTATTTGATAGTGACGTAGAAAATGATTATATATAAATTGAAAATGATGAATGGATTTGTAATAATCCAAATAAATGTCGAGACTGAGAAAGTGAGAATCTAATGAGCATATATATGTGTTCCTGAGTGATCGGGCAGGGAGAGACATGAAGATATTTGACTGTTGCTATCTGCACTGGAAAGCCACATATTCCTTTTGGGCTCTGGCAAATAAGTTGTTATATGGAGCCATGGCATGTGATGAATTGAAGTGATAGAGAGCATCCCATTTTATCTTCTCTTGTATTTTTGCTCTCTTGTCCCCCCGCCCTTTTCTTATTGCACTTCTCTTTTCCAATAAAGAATATTGACCTAAAGAGTGAGAACTAATAAGGGTTATAAGAGCAAACACAATAGTCTAATTTTTTTGTGATTTTTTAGGTGTCAAATAGGAGTGAGAAGAGGGAGCGAAAAAAGGGAGAAAAAGAAAAAAAGAAAAAAAAAACTAACACGGAATTATTTAAAAAAATAAAAAAAAATAAAACTAAGCAAGTAACATGCTAGCGGGCACGTGCAGTGCCCGGCTGGGTGGCTACATCTTCAGAACGCCAGAGACAGTGCCCGGCTGGGTGGCTACATCTTCAGAACGCCAGAGACCCCAAAAGCTTTGTTTTCATTTCTGAAAATGTGGACCCTACAAAAGTGCTTCACTTGCAGGAGGAAAAACATTTTAAAAAAAAAAATCATCTTCCATCCGTTTTCAATTTTAACCTTTGATTTTTTTTATCTACAAAAACTCCAAAAAAAAAAAAAAAAAAAAAAAAAAAAACCAGAGATGTGGTTGATCTGATTTCTAGTTACAACAAGTTAATTATATGATGTCATTTCAAGTGGAATACATTTTGTCTCAAAAATTCAACTATTTGTAATTGTTGAGGTGCAAATTAAAGGGGTACATATCAGATGAAAAGAAACGTCCATGTAAAAAAATGGGATGAGGTATGAACCGTTAATTTGTCCATATCAATGGCTCTAAATAAAAAAAGAGAATTTTTCAAACTTTGTAAGTTTGTAGTATAAGTCTATGCACTTGTATTATAAAACTTATTATGCACTTCGTAATATAAATCTATGCACTTAGTAGTATGTACTTATGCACTTTCAAAATCAGTTTAGAAAAAATGTGGTGACATTTTTATAAATATCTCTAACTTTGAAGTACACAGATTTATACTACATTGTGTGGACCACGATCCACGCAATAACTATTATAGTCTAGTAGTACGAGTAATATTTAAGTGATTTATATTGGGCAAATTATGTTGTGGAACCGTGTCCACTTTACAAGTGTGCACAGTTCCAAAATTGTCATAATTATGAATATAGAGTTCAAAAATCATGAATATAGAGTTCTCTAATTATGAACATAGAGTTATGTAATTATGAATATAGAGTTCAATAATTGTGAATATGAAGTTCAAAAATTGTGAACATAGAGTTTTATAATTATGAACATAGAGTTCTGTAATTGTGAATATAAAGTTCAATAATTATGAATATAAAGTTCAGTAATTATGAACATAAATGGATACAGTTCGACATAACAATTGTTTATCTTGGTTCTAGGCCGTTGTGAGATTGAATCCATTTTTTGTATAGTTACTAGAATTGGGCCATTGAAAGTCTAGTGTGGTTCATGAGATATACTGGGCTCAGCCTAATTCTTTAAGACTGACCCATTTATCTAATGCTAACTTATTAGGCAAATTATGCTGTGCATCCGTATGCATCAAGCATGGTGCATACGGATGCAAAAACGACGTCGTTTTTATAAAAAGCGCGTCTCCCCTTAAAAACAAAAAAAAGGTTCGAAACTATAATTTCATAATCGATGAACTATAATTCCATAATCGATGAACTATAATTCCATAATCGATGAACTATAATTCCATAATTGATGAACTATAATTCCATAATCTAATCTATGAACTAAAATTTTCAGAATGAATGAACTAAAATTCCAGAATCTATGAACTAAAATTTCAGAATCGATGAACTATAATTCCAGAATCGATGAACTATAGTTCCATAATCGATGAACTATAATTCCATAATCCATGAACTAAAATTTCATAATGAATGAACAAAATAATGTTGTTACTAGGAATCGAACCTGAATTTTTTTTTTTAAAGGGAGACGCGCGTTTTTAATAAAACGACGTCGTTTTTGCATCTGTATGCACCATGCATGGTGCACACAGATGCACAGCATAACTATTCAACTTATTAGGGGAAACAACGATGACAAATTATTGTGTCGACTATGGTCTATATAATATTGTATGGAACATAATAAAAATAAATTTTTAATATACTAAATGATTATTATTTGTGTATTGAATGTACATTATACAAAATAATGTACATTCAATACTTAAATAATATACTTTTTCTGAATATAGCGTACATTATTAATATACTAAAAGTACATTATTTTTGTACTAAATGTACATTATTTTATAACATACAAAATATGGTTCACATAATAATATTTGAACAAGGATAGTGAAACTACCTTAAAAAAAAGGATATTGAAACTGGAGAGTTCTTTTTAAATAATAAGTATTTCTTTTGGATATTTATTTATAAATTAAGGTCAAAATTACAATAAAAGATAATCTCCACCACCATTACATATGTCCAATTCAATTAAGGGTGTGTTTGGAAAGCAGAAAAATAACTTATGGAAACTGAGTCATTTTCTATAAAATATTTTTCTTTCTAATATTTGGTTACATTCCAAAAAACTGTTTTGGTGTGTTTGGTTAATTTTTTGAAAATGAGCATAATTGTTTTTAATTTTAAACATACAATGTGGTGGTGGTGGTGGTAGCGGTGAAGATGGGTGAATGGATGCTCGACTATTGCAAACGGACAATGACTTTCAAAAAATAGAAGGGGAAGTCATTTTCTAAAAAAATCTCTCTATTTTCCATTGACTTCCATTTTTCCCATCTAGCCAAACACCGAAAACCTAAAATTTGCGATGAAAAGTGACTTTTTCAATCAGCTTTTTGAGAAGTCATTTTGTATATAGTCAGCTAACAGTTGTTTTACCAAACATTTTTCTATAATCAGTTAGAGCATCTCCAATGTGCACCAAATATCAACGCCAAAACCCCATCCCACCAAATTACTCTCTCCAATGTATCCCTGCATCGCGCCAAAACGCCAAATAAAATGGCGATAATGAACAGTGCAGCGCCATATTTGGCGCTGCACTGTTCATCCGCGGCAAATTGAATATAGGGAAGAAAATTACCCTTTTGCCCTTACTTCTTTTTATAATTCCAAATATATCCTTTATTTGTTTTATATGTAATTTTTTATTTTGTTAAATACTTATATTTAAAGTTTGTATTATTAAATAAAAATTATACCATTTTAAAGATCTCATTAATACGATCGAAACAAGGCTAATATTGAATATATATTAATTAAAATTTCAAATACATCAAACATAACTAGAACATAATAAAAGTTAAAATACATACGCGATACATCAAACATGACTAGAACATAATACAAATTAAAATACATACGACACAATATTAATATTAGAAAATACAAATACAATTTAAAAAAATATATATTTCAAGAATTTCTTGCTCGGCATAGACAAATTAAAGATAAAGAAGCTCATTATGCACTCCGTAATGCATTGATTGAGCATTTGTGGGAACGATATAGTAATTCCGATAATTAAATGTACTAGATGTTGTATGCTATATTATTATTGGAATAAATTCAATTTTCAAAAATATTGTTAAATTTGATTTTTTTAAAATAATTAATCTTATAAAAAATTAATATTAATAAAAATTATTGTTTACATCATAAGTTATAATTTATATTAAACTAATTAAGTTCGAACTAATAATTGAGAAATTAAATTATTTTAGTGTAAAAATTTGGTGTTTTGGTATAAATGGGTTGGAGATGAATAAAATTTGGTGTGAGAATATGCTGGTATAAATTCCTTCTGATGTGACATTTGCTGGAAAAATTTGGTGTTTTGGAGATAGAGGGGTTAGAGATACTCTTAATGCTTATCAACTAGACAAACTTACTAACTCAATCAGCTAACCGCCATTTACTAAACACCCCAATATAACTATCACTTTACTCCTTAATTGTGTCGACTTGATGTACACAGAAATTAGTCTAAATATGATAGGGCTTAAAAGAAAACAAACATTGAATTAAAGTAACCGCAAGCAATAAAAAAGAAAAAAAAATAGAGGTAGGAACATATGAATCACAAATGGAACTTTTGTCTCAAATACTATCTACAGAACTAGTGAATTAAACCTGTATCTACGTCACAAATGGAACCCCGTCCATCTTTGAAAGCTTTGAAAATCAGCACCATCAGAAACTGCCAACCCAATCCCAGTCCTTCCACCTCTCCCAACTCCTCTGTAATAAAGCCTCCATTGCCAATCTTCACCTCCATTATCCATCTCAACTAGGCAAGGTGAACCCACCCCTTCACTATCCCAACACCCATCTTCTTCCCCACACTTCTCCAACACAGGCCTGCTGTTATTCACCCTCCTCCACCCCTTCAACCCATCCAATGAAACCGCCATTCCAATGCTCCTCCTCCCATCCACCCCAACCCCTTCATAGCTCATAACATACCCCCCACCCCTCTTGTTTCTCACCACATTAGCCTTCATTACTCCCTTCTCATCAAACGCCCCCGGCCCGCCCCCCTCTAGGATCTTCCCTAGTTTCACCCATTTTATCCCATCTCTTGACCTTGCTATTCCAATTGCGAAGCAATTGGCTTTGGTGTCGAATGAATGGTAGTACATTCGGAGATCGCCGTTGCCATGAAACAGAACATTGGGTGAGGATATGAATAGGGAATCCCAGTCGTGTTTTTGGCCGGAGTCGAATAGAGCGCCGGAATGATGGTCGCCTTCGATTCTTGCCCAGTGTCTCCCGTCTTGGCTCATTGCTAAGCCTGGGAGTGACTTGAAAATGGTGGAGGATTGGGAGGAATTGGAGCAAGCCCTTTCTGGGTTTTGTAATTGGAAACCCGGGGAGAAATTTTCTGGGAGTTTCAGTTCTTCGGCGCTGAAACCGGTGTAGTAGAGCCAGTAAACGGCGGCGGTGTTTGCCCGGAGTTTGGCGCTGGACATGATGGAAACCTCGCCGGGGATAACGCTTTGGGTATCGAATCCCCACCAATCTTGGCTGGGATTCATCACCAATCCCACATCCCCGCTTGATTCCACGCCCCCAACGCCTCGCTCCCAGTGAATCCCATTGCTCGAAACCGCTAATCCGATCGCGTCCGATTCCGGGTTCTTGCCGGACCTGCCGTGGTACCACAGGTGCCACCGCTCTTCCTCGTCGCCCAAATATCTCTTCACCACCGGTGACCCAATCTCCAAATTATCCCACGAATCCCCACACCCCAAATCCAAAACCAATCCCCTCAATATCGAAGATGAAGAAGAAGAAGAAGAAACTGCTTGATCGGGAATGGGTTTTGCGTCTTCCCCTTCAATCCTTGAACCGATGAGCTCAACGGATAAATCCTCCCCGTTCGTTGTGTGTGGCTTCGCGGAGCAGTGGGTTAGAAATGGCGACTTCTTTGAGTTCTTTCTCAAAACCAGCAGTTTTTGCTTGGGTTTTGGGGGTGATAAGGCAGGAGATTTCTGCAGGGGAGGGAGTAAAAGGGTGTTCACAATCTTGATAGTAGATAAGGGTGCTAGAGTTGCAGAATCCATGGCGGGGCTGGGGAAACTCATCGAAGTAGTGAAATCTTGAAGAAATCAAAATGGAAGACTAGTTATGAAATCCCAAAACCAATCAAGCTTTGCCACATGTGAGAGAGAGATGGGTGAAGATTTGGTAGTGCTGATCTGTGAGGGTGAGTGGAAACTGGAAAATGTGGTATATAATGGAGAGAGAAATTTCACTGAACAGGATAAAGTGGAAAGAATTAGATCTGGGACTGGGAAAAAGTAAAGAATAAAGTGAAAAAATAAATAAAAGCAATGATCTTTGGAAATTGGACTGAGGCAGAAGCAAAGGGATTCTGCCTATGCTCAAGCAAGGTAGCAATATAATTGGAAAGAGTTCTACTATTGGATTCCAAATTCTACCCTATTAATTATACTTCCTGATGTGATAAGGATATGACATTTTCATCTTATAAAGAATTATCTACATTCAAGACTTATGAAGTAAAAGTTGATAATAGAATTTGGGAGTATTATAGAACTTATTTAAGAGCTTATAACTACTTTAAGCTATTAATAAGCTATAAGTTCTGGTTTGTAATGTTCTCAAAATAAGTTAGTAGCTTAAAATAAAAGTTTATTTTGAAACACTACCATAGGCTCTATTTGACCGAGCTTATTTAGAAGTTTATAGCTTATTTTAAACTACTAATAAGCTATAAGCTGTGTTTGGCAATGGTCCTAGTATTATTGTTGCACGACAATTTTTAGTCTTCTATCAACAAAATCGTTGAAATATTTTTAAATATAAAGAAATTTCAATCTTTTTTATACAAAGTAGGCTGAACCGCTATATATATATATATATATATATATATATATATATATATATATATATATATATATATATATATATATATGAAAACAAACATAATTGAAGACTAAAATATTATTGTATTTAACGATATTTAAATTGTTTTGTTGATAAATGACAAAAAATGTCACGTCACGATAAATAGGGTTTTGGAGTTATACACGTATACGAGAAGGGTTTGTGAAGTGTCCCCTTCGCATTGTAGGGCCTGCAGCAGTGCGATTTGGCCGCTTTGGAGGACGCCTCGACCTCCTTCCTCCATTCTGGTTCAAATTTTGCGCCTTCGGAAGAATTCCGATGCTTTTTCCATCAGAACTCAACTTCTTTGGACGACCACGGCCCCTCCTAGCTGGAACAGGAACAACGTTAGCCACAGCGGCGGGAGAAACAGGAATCGCGGGCCCACCATCTAATCCAATCGAAACAAACATGAATTCTGCTCCAACGTCAGAAATCAGAATAACCTTAAAAAAAAACGTTTGCGCTGGTTAGGCGGGTTAGACGCCACCTAGACCGCCTAAGCGACCACGGAAGAGGCCGATTCCGGTATTTCTCGACGCGATTGGGCACCGCCTAGGTGCTGATTAAGTATATGTATGTATTTTAAACATATTTCTAAATTGTTATGAATACACAGTTATGATCCATTTGAAATACATAAAAATATATATATATTAATGGTATTGAAATAAAATAACAATTAGAAAGAAAAAAAAACAATTTTTCAACTAAAACCGATTTATATTACTAATTCCATAATCTAACATTCCTAGTAATTTAATACAAGTATTTTCTAAGATAAGCTAACATTTCCTTAACCAACTCACAGCATGTTTGGTTCACATAATGAATTTTGAGGTAATAGGAATGCTATTCCATATGAAATGGAATAGGCCAGGAATAAAATATGAATTCTATTCTATTGTTTGGTTCGCGGAAGGAATAGACTTTATGAATTATATTACAATGTTTGGTTGGTTTAAGGAATAGAATGAAATATGTTTCAAAAGACATAAATACCCTTATAAAAATATGTGGTGGTGTTGGTGTTGGTGGTGGCGGCGGTGGCGGTGGCGACGGCGGTGGTGGTTGTGGTGGTGGCGATGGTTGTGGCGACGGTGGTGGCGACGACGGTGGTAGCAGTGCCGGCAATGGTTGTGGTGGCAGTGGCCATGGTGGTGGTGGTGGAGACGGCGGCAGTGGTGACGGTGATAGGGTATTTTCGGTATTATAGTACTAAACCTATTCCCAAATATTTGGGAATAGCTAATACCAGGGGATCCCTTAGGAATGACTATTCCCCCTGCAAAGAGAATAGCTCATTCCCGGAAACGTTATTACCTTGAACAAAATGACAAATCAAACAATGAAATAGGTCTATACTCGAGAACGGTATTCCATTCCCGACCTATTCCATGAATCAAACGCGCCATCAGTGTATATTATATTATACAAAATTTATTGGGATGTGAACAGCTAAATCAAAATTTATTGGATGTAATTTGCTACTATGTATTTTTTACAGTTCTCAGCTACACGTCGTCTCTGCAACATTCAATCGCCATGGCTGCAAGCGTTTGGGGAAGCAGAATCAGCTCCTTTCATAATCCCAAGCCTCTCAATTCCTCCTCCGCATCAACCAATTTCAAAACCCATTTAACCATTTCCTCCCTTCCATGCCATCACTTCTTCAGACCCAATAACAATTCTAAACCCCTCAAATCCACAAGGTTAGCCCCCACCCCCAACATTTATCCTTATACACTCCATTATTGAGACTACACAAGATTTAATTTGTATGTATCGATGTGTATGTGATTGACTGATTGTTTAGCTCTGCCTTACAGGATGGGGATTTCTTACCAAAAATGGGAGCCAAAAAAGAAGCCGTTTCGGATGCCAATAGTGTCTTGTTTAGTAGAAGATACTCCTGAAAATTTCCCGGAATCAGGCTCAAATGATTCTTCCGCGGTACGTGATTCTAATGCTTTTGCCATTCTATGCTTGCCCTCTAGTCTGTTGGGATTATGGAAGGGCTTTTGTTTTGTGTTCTTAATCTTTGTTCTTTACCCGTTAATTCAAATTTAGCTAGTTTATTATCCATTGATTTGTATTTGTCGAATTATGATGTCAATACTGGCAATTTTGTGGTTTAAAGTTAATTGGAAATATTAAGAAATGCATTGTTAGGTTAGAATTCAGAATTGGTAGTCACAAGAGAAGAATTCACAAGGGAAAAAAATGCATTTTTAGTCTTTCAATTGTTCTTTGCTTAGTTGTTTTAGTCTTACTCTTTAACTTTTTATTGCTTCAAAAGAGTTCTGTTTTAACCAGGATGAACAAAACTATTAAACTCTATTAAAATTTTACTTAGTAACATCAGCACTGTGTAAATCAATTCAATATTCAATCTATATCATAACTATGCTGTGAAGTTATTATTATTATTATTATTTTTTTTGAAAGGATGCTGTGAACTTATTATTTATGAATATCTACAAGATAACTAGATGCCCAATTGCAGGAAGTGGTTTTTGACTTGAAGCTCCCGAGGAGAAGTTTGTTAGCAACTTTCACATGCAATGCATGTGGTGTGCGATCTCAAAGGTTCATAAACAGATTAGCTTATGAAAGAGGACTTGTCTATGTGCAGGTACTTAATTACAAGTTTATCATGGTCACATATCTGTCTTGTATATCTTGATCCATCTTCTTCAAGTCCATGTTCATGCCTTTTTCTTTCAAATGCTTTTGTATGGAGGATTATTGTGTCAGCATATACCTATTGTTTTCGTTTTGTTATGGTGCAATGCCAATGGCATTAATATTCTTTTGATTATTTAAGGATGTGTCTGGAAACCAGGAAAATGACTTCTGGAATATGTTTTATGGAAAATGAGTCATTTTCCAGAAAACATTTTCATTTCTCGTGTTTGGTTGCATTACAGAAAACTGTCTTTGTGTGTTTGGTTTTTCTGGAAAATAAGCAGAATTGTATAATTTAAATTTTAATTGTTGTTAACTAAAAAATATTTGAATCTTATTTTTTTTTTCTTATTATGCATTCTTTGCAAGTGTGCTGTCCATTTTTGTTGGAACTAATTGGAAATGCATACTTTTACAGTGTTCAGGGTGCTCTAAGTATCACAAATTGGTAGACAATCTTGGACTTGTAGTTGAGTACAACTTGGGAGATGAATATGGTGAGGATTCATAGGCAAATCAAGCTTGAAGGGATTTACTGAATTGATTACAGATCAAAAGCCATTGTATGTACAGATCAAATATATCTACAAGGAGTTTGTTTATTATATCTATCTGTTGTGATAAAAATCTTCCACTTAAGAAACAATGATTTATCCCCTTATTATTGTTTTGTTTAAGCATGCATGTAAATGTCCAACCTTATCAAAAATTTTGTATTGATAAGGCTAGATATAGCCTGTACACAGTGAAACAGTTGACAATTAGACATACCAAAGAGCTCACCAAATTCAGTGTTTGATGTATGAACAACTTTAGTTTCTTACTTTCTTTGATGCAGCACTTAAATGTAATACTTACACTTAAGTTCCTGTGCGGCTGTACAGTCATTAACTATTAGGTATGCATAAATGCACCATTAGGTGCAGTGTTGCAAAAATCGGGCCTAGGTGCCAATTAATCGGCGCCTAGGCGCTAAGCGGTCGGCCACCTAGGTGCTCTAGGCGCCCGCCTAGGCGCTTTAGGCGGTCCCCAGGTGCCTAGAGGGCGCCTAGCGATTTTTTCATCCTTGATTAGGTGTGGTGCATTTCATTGTGCTGCATTTCTGAATATTGTGTGGTGCATTTATACATACCTGATGCCTGATGGTGAATTCGTACCGGCCGCACGGAAAGTATTGTCCGCATTTGAACCAGTATATATATATGAAGCACAACTTTTATTATAAAAAAAAAAAACTAAAATCACTTGGATTGATTTGTACCATTCTATTACAACATCATCAGTGAGCCAAAGTTGAAATGAATCATATGATGCACACAAAGTCCTTGAAACATTGGCACCAGTGACATCAAATAAAATAGCCAACTAGGTTCCATCAGAGATTACAAACAGCATGGAGTTCTGATTACAAACAGAACATAAGATGGAAGGCATCATGCATCTTAGCGAGCAATTTGTTTGGATGTCTTGAAAGGGGAAGGCGAGATGGCGGAGACTCTGACTTCTTTTCCTTCTTTCTACGAAGTTGGAAGAATTGCTGCATCGCATCTGCACACTCTAAGGCCAATACTCCTCGTCTAATACTCATGTTCGGGTGGAACGGATGAACTGGAGCAGGCGGTTTATCTGTTGATTGCTGACCGTCTCCTCCATCTCCATCCGGGAAAAGCCTGAGAATTGTAGATTATTGTGTCAAAATATAGTCCCGTCATACCATTCATTCGTTTTCTGTTTTGCTCGGAGAATTTTAGTTGTCATTTCGCAAAGATAAACTTAACCAAGATGCCCAAAGTAACCCGTTTTAGAAATTTGATTTGCATACCTAATCCAGCTGCCATCAGCACCGAGAAGCTTATTGGGAGCGCCCCAAACAACAGTATCAATCCTAGCTTGGAGTATCGCTCCAGCACACATTGGACATGGTTCGAGTGTAATATAAAGCGTGGTGTCCTACAAAAATAATTATTATTTTTTTAAAATAAACAAAATAAAAATGGATGTCAGAATAAGAGAATAGAACTCAATAGAATAATCAATTTTGAGATTCGAATATTAAACAGATACGAATACGAATATTCGAATATATATATATATTTTTGAATGCTACTGACTCTATTACAATGTAGTATCTGTTCATAACTACTTTCTCAACCTACTGAAGCACAAAGAGCCAATAACGCCTCCACTGAGGCTCGAACTCACAACCTCCCATATGGGAATCCAACCCGGGTGTCATCTGTGCACAAGGTGCTTGGCGAATATTCGAATATATAGTTGAATTCGAATCGAATAATGAGATATTTGACTCGATTCGATTCCTTTACACCCCTAGTTTTAGGGAGACTGAACAAAATATTCACTGTTAAAACAACTAACATGTGGAAAATTACCGAAAGTCTCCAAGACCGAAGGACATTAGAAGCCTCCCGAATGCAAATCATTTCTGCATGGGCAGTGGAATCACGCAATTCTTCTACTCTGAAATATGGATCATGACAGAATGACAGATAAATAGTAGCACATGAAGCAAATAGATGATTCAGAAAAACATTTATATTTACAGCCAAAACTTACAGGTTGCATCCCCGAGCAATTATCTTTCCACCCTGCACGAGCACTGCCCCAACAGGAACCTCCCAATTGCTGGCAGCTTTTTGAGCTTCCCGGAGTGCCTCCCTCATAAACATTTCATCAACTTTCCGCTGCTCAGTTTCAGTCCTATATGCTTCTTCCCATTCATCAAATCTATCTCTTATCATTTGATTGGCCCTCTGAAATTTCCTTTGCCTCACTTCCCCATCTTTAACCTCGGGAATGGATATTTCAGTTGAAGCTGAAGGAACTACTTGCTCGGTACTACTGCTAGATGCTGCAGCTTGTTCAGCCCTTGTAGTCTTTTGCAAAGTTTCTTCGTTTGATGCCAAAGAAATACTTGAAGATGGCAAAATGGAAGATGAAGCGTCCTCCCATTCAGGCTTTATTTGGTCCGTTGATAAGTTTGACACTTCTTCTCCCTGGCTTTGAATTTGAACCTTTTCTTGTTTATGCTGTTCGGAGGAAGATTTTTGTAGCAAACGCTTTTCCTTCTTTACACTCTCGCTGTCACTGCCCTCAGGTACGTGACCTGAAATCTGGGCCTCATTAGAATGATGCGATGAACTTGTTCCACCGGATCCTGAAGTTGAAGCATGCTTACCAGAACGTGAAATCCATCGCATTCGTACTATATCTGCGATAATATGCCACATGGACTGGCCAGTTCTCTTGATCTCAGCACTCCCAACTGTTTCTGTGTCATCCTTTAATTCTGTTCCTGGTGTTTCTTGAATAGAGGGTGCTGATTCTTGAATTGATGGTTGAGTTTGAGTTACCCACATTTCATCTGAGGGGCCTGCAGCCCTGGAGCCTAAAGAACTTGTAGAATCTTGCTCTTTCGATTGAGATTCTTGCTCACCCTCATATACCAACTTTGTCTCAGAGGATCTTTTCTCGATTTCAGAACTGGAGACTTCATGCCTTACTTTCTCAACAAATTCACCAACATATTCTGCAGAGTACTTCTGCAATCGATTGGCTGAACCAAGTCCATCTTCTGGAGAAACGAATTCTAAACGTTTCTCACTAGTCTCACCCCTTTTGACCTCACCATATGTTTCTCGGGAATGCTCCATTGGTTTCTCACTAGAACCACTTTGTGCACTTGAAGGAGAGAAAAACCTTTGTGCTGCAAACCCACTCATTGATTCAACGGTCGAAGAACTTGATAACGATTGAGAAGATGAATGGGCCTGTGATATTCTTTTATTCGTCTCATTTTCATTAACAATGTTGACATCATTTTGACAAGCCACCGACACATCCCTTGCATCCATTAAAGCTGTCGTTTGTTCAGACCCCTTCAAAAGTTCCGTACTTTTAGTACGTTCTACATTTGTTTGGGAAGATTCCCCTCTGGATTCTAGAGATGACTTGAGAGAGTAGGTCTTATATTCTTCTTGATTTGTCAATCTTGTCTTCGATTTCCTCTCCGAAATGTAAGTACTTAGTATATGTTCATCTCTAGCTTGGTTGTGTTTCTCATCCGTGATATATGTAGAACTCCGACCTCTAGATGAAGAAACTTCACCGCTTGTTCTTCTAACGCTAGACTCTATTTCTCCGGTGAATGCCCCTCTAACATCAACTTCTTGAATTTGTGATTTACTAATTTCTTGAGAATGCTTCCCAGATTCATCTTCCCTTCGAACAATATCAGTTTTACGATTTTCATCTCGAGCTTCCTCCATTCGAGTCATGGTTTCAGTGGGATCACGGTTTGCTGGCATTTCTAGAAATTGCTTATGCTTCATTCTGGTCTCGGACTGATCAAAATCCACAGTCGAGGTTAATTTCTGTTTCCTATCATCATATGCCTTGGAGGAACTAAGTTCCTTCCCGTAGTTACTTTCATGAACGCCCGAAATCCTTGATTGTTTCCGGGATGATTCCTTCCTATCTTCAATTGATATGTCAGTAAGCCTCTTCTCGGATTTCTTTCTCCAGCTACCGTCTATGTCAGCTGAGGCTACATATGATCCCGCTAAAGTATCTTCCTTACTCGAGATCATTCCCTGTTCTTGGGAACAATCCGAAACTCGTTCCCCCACTTCCCCATAACGAGTAAATTCTTCACTCCTTGAATGCTTTCCATTCTTGTTTGACAATTCACCTTGAATTTGCATCTCGTTATCACTGTCTAGTTCACCTGTTGAAGAAAGCGAGTAGTATGAAGAACAGCTAGACCCCTCTTTTCTCACTTTTTGCCGGTGATCCTCTCTTCTTGACAAATCTTCCCCCCTCTCTTCTTCTCTCCTCTCCCTTTCAATGTTACTCTTTCTTGAAAAATATTCCCTCTCGTCCCTCACAACACTCGCCTCTTGATTCTCACCGCTCAACAAAGCCTCGTTGTTATCTTCTCCCCTCACCCTTTGTTTCACCAAACTTCGCCCCACAACCTCACGAGCATTTCTCCGTGACTTCTCTCCCCTCGGTAAAGCATCTTTCTCTTTTTCTCTCCTATGCTCGTTTTTTATCTTGTCTTCCTTCATCGACACACACACCATTGACTCAACCTCAGACGACTTTTTATCATCACCAAATTTCCCACCCTTCTTCTTATCAATGGAATTATTCTCTTTAATCTCCACAACCCTTTTCTCCCAAGACCTTCCCTTTCTCCCCCTAAAATCCACACACTCCTCGTCCAAATCCTCGCAAAGCAAACTGAGCAAAACCTCAGCCTCGTCGACATCACAAAGACTAGGCATTTCACTCTCCTCCTGAAAACCCATACACCCATATCTCTCTCTTCTTCTACACACACTTCTCTTGTTCAAGGAGCAAGATTTCTCATAATAAAGTTTTCTTTCAATGCCAAAACCCGGGAAACTCGCATTGCACCTATCTAAACTCCTCAAGATCATTTTTTTACAAGGGGACCACTGAATCAAAGTGGATTGCCTCAAACCACAGGCATAGCTAGGGCCAAGTGGCACTCTATGCATTGAATTTGCAGAAGAAGAACAACAACAATAACAGCAGCATGATTGTGAATTGCATAATGGGTATTTGCTAAACCTATTTTTGGTACAGTAAGCATAACCATTGAATGAAAAGGAAGCACCCCCATCGCATTTTAGCGAGAGAGTTGAGCTTACACAAGTGTTGTACATGGCGGCGCTATTCAGTACAAAGAGAGAATTGGAATATAGAGTTAGAGAGAGATACCTTGAGGAGAGAAATGGGGTTTCAAGAATTCGTTGATTTGGAGAAACTGAAGCTATGGTGGCGTCCAAACTCCAAAGAGATCCTGAGTTGGATCAGATTGATCGGTTGAGGGACAAACAAACAAAGAAACAAGCACACAGGAAATGATGGCATCACTGAGTCAACTCGGAATCTTTTACTTTATTTATTCGCTTATTTGTCCGGAAATAATTTATTTTCCCAGCTTGTTTAATAACTTTTTTTTTTTTTTTTTTTAAAAAGACACGGGGTGTCATAGTGGCATGAGCACATCCTAACTATATAAGACACCTTTAAATTATACAATATTTACGTTAATTCTCGTGTGCGTCGAACCAATTCAATTAAGAGGTAAACATGTTAAGTTTTCATATGAAAGGAGATTTTTTTTTTTTTTTTTTTGAAAAGAAGAACTCAGTTCATTAAATCATGTTCTAAAATCGGGACCAAAAAATCTGGTGGCTCATCTAACCACTCAGCCGAACTTGACATAGAAACGGCTTCCCGTGCAACAGCAAGGGCCGCGCAATTCGCAGATCGCCGAACATAAGCAAAACTAACCCCATGCAAAAAAGTGGCTATATGTTTTACATCGTCTACTAACAATCCAAAAGCAGAAAAAAAAGACTCAGATCGTATGGCATGAATACATAATTGAGAGTCTGACTCTACATCCACCTCCCCCAAACCCGTATCTCGCAGCCATGATAAAGCTTCACGCAAACAACACCCCTCTGCCTCCTCCACCGTATACTGGCCCTGTACACGCACCCCCTTCACTGCCAAACACCGCCCAGCATCATCCCGCACCACCCACCCCAACCCCAACCCCATAGCATTATTTGCATAATCAAAAGCTGCATCACAATTCAACTTCAGCCTTCCTACCTCCGGCGGACGCCACACCTCGTCAGACTGCCCGTGATCGTTGCCTCCACCCACTGCCTGCACCGCCATCCAATTATGCCAGTATCGCAAAGCATGATGTTGTACTGCCTCTCTTACAAAATGCTCCCCCCGCCACACACTCGCATTCCTACTCGTCCAAACTGCCCAACACAACATTACAAACCTGCTTCTAGTGTCATCATTTAGGGTCCCTAACATGCCAAAAAACCAATCAGTAATACTAGCATTGTCATGAACACTAACAGTGAGATGTAGCCATGCCCATATGGACCTTACATGCATGCAATCCCGGAACAAATGAAAAGCTGACTCCTCCACACTACTACACATATGGCAATTTACACCACACACAACCCGTCTCGTGGCCAAAGCCTCACGAGTTGGTAGCACCGCGGAAGCCAGCTGCCATGCAAACAACTTCACCTTGGGAGGAACCTGAAGCTGCCAAATTAAAAGCCAAGGGTAATCAGATATGAAAGGAGATTTTGAATTCCTGACTTCTTTTAAAGAATGAGAGTGCAAGATTACTCACATCAATCAAACTGATTATATACATTAATTGATCAACAATGTTACGTGGATTTTTTATTTTTCACAAATTTTTATCGTAACTTTACGTAGTTAATTTGTGATAAGTCAATTGTTATACCATGGACCATGATCCATCTTGCATTGTAAATCCTGGCAGGGCCGGCCCTGGGCAAGTCTGCCCAGGGCCTTTGCACAGGGCCCCCAAAAATTGGGGGCCCCTTATAAAAAAAAAAAATACAGTATATAATATAGTCATCGCAGTTTCAGTTTTGATTATTCGAACCCTATTACTCTATTAGTTTATTACCCTAATTGACTAACCGTAGCTTGTAGCTCGATCAACCCTCAACAAGCAATTGCACAAGCCTAATTAATTGGCAATTTTAGCGTTTTCCGGCATCAAAGTGATCGAACAGCAGTACTGCACTACATGTTCAAGTTCCAAGATTTCATTATTCTTTCATTATGTAGTTTGATCAACAATTTAACATTAGAATTTTTGTATTTTTGTACTTGATATCAATATCAATTTTGGTTGATTTTAATATTTGACCAATATTATTTCTCAAAAAAAATAAAATTGGCGCAAACAACAACGGTAGATGCAGCTCTGCAGATGATTGATTCTTCAATTCTTTTAACAGGTAATTAAAATTACTTATTACTTCACAATTCTTGTTTATTATTTTATTTACATGACTTAATAATTTTGATTTTAGAATAATTTAAAGATGAATTTTTTGATTAATTATTTATTCATAGAGTTTCTAAATAAATTTTTGTTTTTTTCCTTAAAATTTTATAATTATGTTTTCTAGAAAATATTCATCCGGATTTTAGAAACGTAAAAAGAAAAGTAAAAAAGAAAAGAAGAATTGAGCAACTAACTCAATCTAAAAAATGTGCTCTTGAAAAATTCATTACAAAAAAAAATTCAAATAGATTAACAAAAAGATGATGCCAAGAAAAAAAATTGTTAGTTGCTAATCTGCATATAGAAAATCAAGATGATTGCAAGATTGAAAAAAATTTAAATGATAGGTTGTACAACAATGATAGGACAATGAAAATAATAAGAATGTTAATTGATAGTTATTTAGAGGATGTTGATCACAATAATAAACCAAATGATTCGCTTTTATTTGACATATATAATCCAAAAAAATTGGGATGCCCTTGATTCTAAATTAATAGATAATTTTGTGAAAGATAGTCCTAAAAGAGATTTATCAATAAATAAAGGTCCTAAAGATAAATTCTCTAAAAGATTTCTGTCAGTATTTTACACAAGATATTTGTCAAATGGAGAGAAGTGTGATCGAGATTGGTTTGTATATTCAAAAGAACTTGACAAGGTGTTTTGTTTTTGTTGGAAGAAGTTGATATCAAAAGTTTGGTAAATGATTTTGCATATAAATGTGCACGACGCATGTCACTTTTTAAATAAAATGTTAAATGTATTTTTTATGCAATATTTATATTTTGAATTTTTTATATAACTTTTTGAACAACTATTATTTATATATAGAAATTACTTGAGAAAAGGACCCAAATTAAAATATTGCACAGGACCCCAATATTGATTGGAACGGCCCTGAATCCTGGTCTAAAAATTGCATCTGCAGTTAATACAGACGTATAATATGTTAACTATATACACATAAAATCTTAACTGCATACGGACGTATAATATGTTAACTATATACACATAAAATCTTAACTGCATACGGATAATATGTTAACAACATATTATGTGTTTGTAGTTAACATAAACTGTTAACTACATGTACAAAAAATGTTAACTGCAACACATAATATGAATGTTATTTTTACCCGGATTCACAATGCAAGGTAGATCCTAATCCATGGTATAATTTGCCGTGATAAGTTAGTCAGTTTAAGAAGGATAACACTTGTGTGAGACCGTCTCAAGGTCTCAATTCATGAGACGAGTCGGATCTTTGATTAATTGATCAAATCTTTAATTAATGAGTCGAATTTTTGACATCATTAATCAAAAATTTGACCCGTCTCATACATTTGAGACCCGTGAAACGATCCCATACAAGTTTTTATGAATAGAAAACAAATTAACAAGAATTACGACACAGCACATGTTAGATTATTAGGTAAAATATTTGGCAAAAATTTTGGTTTGAATAATATTTCTTTGAATTATTCTCATTTTGGTGTCATGACTATTTGTGTTATATTTGATACATAATTTATACCTTTTTGTAGTTATTATAACCAAATTTCTAATGGAAAATGGTTAAAATATGCTGCATTTTCAATTTGAAATTATACATGTGGTAAGGCTTTGAACAAAAAGGGAGTATTTGGGAATTAGCTAATAGTTGATAGTTAATTGATTCAGTTGATAGCTATATCTGACTGTATTAGCTGTTTTGACTGTATTAACATATTATAGAAATGTATTTGATAAATTAATTATTTAATTTTTACTGATTACATATAAAGACAAGCGTATTGTGTTATTTACTTAACTCTATTTTTACAATTTTTTATTATTATTATTATTATTATTATTATTATTATTATTATTATCTATTAACTATTAGTTTTTGTTTTATCATTAATAAATAATGTCATAATTGTTTTTTTAAAAAATACAATGTAGTTAATAATAATTCACATAACAATTAACAAAATAAGAATATGGTCTTCTGGAGGACTAATCTCAGCTGTCCATCATGGTTCATCAATGGTTGATGATTTTAGTAAAAAAACATGTAATCAACTTTATAATTATTGCAACCTACTAAGTTTTCAAAATTACCATTTTTTTTTCTTTTAGTTTCCAGCAATCTTCAATTGTTGATCTACCTAGATAGATAGATCAAATCAATGCTAAGTTTTTACGTGGAAGCATGTTCCCACAATCCCACCTAAACCCTCCCGACTACAATAGCCAACAAATACGGAGTATTAAGGGTAAATTATACTTTTAAAACATAAATCTTATAAACTACTCAAAATAATTTTTTTTTTTCATTTCATTTTCAACTTATTGGCATCAATAAGTCAAGCTAAAGTGTTGTTTACCAAACATTCATATTAAAGTCAAATAAGCCAAACTTTGCTAATAATTTTCTAATTTGCTCATAACCAGAATGGTATTTACAAGAAATCCAACTTCAATGTTGCATATTGTTTAGATACAAGATAAGTAAACCTACCATTAATCCAGGTTAGACAATTACACCTAATAACCGGCCTGTTTTCCCGAGTAGCGAAAAGATTATTCCTTGCAAACGATGATCTTTCCTTGTCGTTCAAGCTCACGAAGCATGGCAAGTGCAGCAGAATCACTAGAGCTCTTCTTGTCGGGTTGTTTTTCACCCAAGAGCTCAATTGCTCCGACGTTAGGAATTGTCAAGGTGATTCGAGATTCGAAGCTAATGAAGCCTGTCCTCCTTTCAGACGACTCGCCAAATTCAATCAGAGACCTGTGCCGATAATTTCACTAGTTATACATTGTTGAATATGTAATTAACCGAGGAAAAGAAATGCGAATTAAGTGTTTGTTTGGCGTACTTTGATTTAGTCTCCAATGGATCAATTGTAGGCATTGGCCATTGAAGTGTCTTGCAAAGGTTGAAAAGCGAAGTCCTCGGCCCTCCCTTTTTCATGCTGATTGGTGGAATTTCTGAAAAAGAAAATAAACACCATTCATG